GACACAGACTTTCTTAGCAAAATCTAAAAATTTAGATGACTGCTGATATTCTAACTTTTTGTAATTAGGATTAAAAGGAGGAGCTGCATTTTGAACTTATCCAATTTTTCTAAGACTTTCCCTAACATATCCTCAGCTTTCGAGCTAAAAAACACTTCAGAGTTTGGGGGTGCAGGCCAATTTTGAGCAGTTCCCTTATCTAGTTCTATAACTCCTCACCTCCCATGCCTATCTCCAGGGAGGGATATATATCTGGGGAATCTCATCCTTTTTTCTCCATCCCCGATTCAGCTTCTCATGCATGATTACTTTCAGCTTCTTCTTTCAACTTATCTCAATCCTAGAGTCTAAGGTATCTCTAACAAATCTCCACAAGCTGAAAGTATAAAGTTGTTGGGAATTGAACTGGATTTAAACCGCGGATTTTTAACATATTCTGAAAAGTGTGCACATACAATGTTTTTACCTAATTAATCCCCATCTCCGCCCTTCTTCTCACCGAAGGCAAATCAGTAAGTTCCTATTTTACAACTTTAACGGATCCCTTAGTGTTTTCCCTCCGTGTTCAGCAGTCCTGCCCAGGTGCCAATTATCGGGGACCCAGCCCCGATATGTCGGGAGAATTCCGTCAAAAGGAGGCACCAGGTTGAAATGAAGATGCGGAGAGGCTAATTGCTGATGACAAATAGCAAGTTTAATATTCCAGCAAAGGTAGATATACACTGTTTTAGGAACATGCCTGCAGGGGTAATCGCATTATCTCCTATTTGTCCGAGATATTGACTGGTAGATCAAACATTCCCAGACATTCACACAAAACAAAGACCTCTTCCTGGATATCTTATATTTTAAGAAGACAAAACAGTATCACATTCCTAAGATTCAGAAACCTTTGGTCACTCCCTATTCATTAGCATACTGCTTCCTGGAGTTGTTTTCTGCAGAACAGATGGTCAAGCCAAGATAGGTGGTCCTGCTGTTTTTACAAGGCGCAGGACATGATGTTATTTCTAGTCCTATGAAGAGGTCAGCCTGGGATTCACTAGGGGTATATCTGCCCTGGAGCAGAACCAATTCCATGGCACACATTAACAGCATAGCAAAACTGTCTAGGTAGTTTTTTAGTGACCAGCTGCTACCAGAACATACGCTGCAGAGATGTTAAGCGAAGAATAACAGGATTCTGTTGAATTCATAAAACACTTGTTGCTCAACGGAAAAATGCTTTTAAAAATCAGGCTGAGGATAAAATGAAGGCTTCTTTGTGAAAGAGCTCATAGATCTTTTGGGGATGTAAGCATCCTGTGGGAACAATACTTGTACTAGCCATAGTAGAAAATGTGATGTTCTAAAAGATACGTAAAGGGTTTTTTATGTATTTTTTGTTTAAAGATAACGCTTTAATAATACATATTGTTGATTCGTGAACATGAATTTTGTTGTCACCAGCACTGTAACATATGCCTGAACAAAGCTTATCTTTTTTATTTCTCCGTAAGACTCAGCACAGCTTTTTTATACTTAGGAACCCTAGACAGTACTTCAAGACTATTGGAGAGACATCTTAAATAATGAAATATCAGAAGAATCACAGAAAATGGTAAAATGTGGTCTGAAGTAGACCATGGATTAAGGACGCTTGTTAAGTGTGAGAGCAGGAACAAGGCAGCACAGGGTCTCTTTGCCCAGGCTTGCCCAGGGCTGTGCATTCCTGGAGAAAGACTGGTGTTTCACTGCTGTGTGCATGTGGACAAATGGCTGAAAGAATATTCACTGAGATTGGTTTAGATCTTGGATTTTAGCAAGTACATGAACTAAAAAGAGTAGTTATCAGTTGTGTGTGTATACACATACATATACATACACACTGATGTACAAGATCATTGCCAAACCTAGTTAACCCTGATTGGAGAACTTAAAGAATGTGAGGTAAAAGTGGAATTTGAACCCAGGCACCAAGTTTTAGTAACTGCCACATAGGAGTTCAGCCTCTTCGAGCTCTTACCTAACTCCCTCTTCTCTCCCTGGTCTCTTAGATAGTTGTCATCATGGTCTAAGTGTAGCCTTCATGAGCCTGTTGATTGTATGTTTCAGATTTGCCTTGTGTGTGTTCACAATGTTACTGATATGTTGAGGGGTTTTTTTCCATCCAGAGAGAAATTCAGAAACTCTATGAAAACAAGTCATTTCTCTTCCTGGGTTGTGGCTGGACTGTGGACGACACCACTTTCCAAGCCCTTTTCCTGGAGGCTGTCAAGCATAAGTCTGACCTAGAACATTTCATGCTGGTTCGGAGAGGAGATGTAGATGAGTTCAAGAAGCTGCGAGAAAACATGCTGGACAAAGGGATTAAGGTCATCTCTTATGGAAATGAATATGCCGATCTTCCCGAATATTTCAAGCGACTGACATTTGAGATCTCTACAAGGGGTAGATCAGGTAAGGTGCATTTTGAACTTAAGGAATTAGCAGTAGCTCATCAGCCATTTATGTATTTTTGGTAGGTGGCAAAATTATCAAGATGAGAAAAAGAACCAAGGGAGGTCATAGTCTTCACATTAGACCATTTGAATAGCAGAGGAAATGGAGGGACTTTAAAACTTTAGCACTTGAAAACAGAAGTGAGAATAATGGAAAAATGTGGTTAAGATGTTCATCCTCAATAGTTATCAACAAAACACGGTGAGAACTTACAAAACAGAGAAGATAGCTAGGGGGGAAAGTTTTGGTTAAAAATGTGAGGATAGAACTATTTAGGTGTACTATTGGTGAGAAAGTAATGTAAAGACCATTTTTCTAAGTAAAATTGAGTGTATATATCAAAATTTAAAAGCTCTGACTCAGAAATCTCAATCTATGTGCAGGGTGGGAGAGGGGATTGTGTACAAATGAAGGAGTTTGTCTTGCTTTTCAAGGAGAGGGGCAAACTGGGGGTGGGGAGAAAAGTGCAGCAATGAATGAATGGAATTCCAAAATCTCTGTAGATGATCACTGAAATGAATAATAATTTTTAAAAATTAAAAAAAAAATCTCAATCTATATAACTTAAGAGAAATTTCAGCTAAAGTGATATTGGAACAGTTTCATAAATATATGTATCTTAGAACATAATTGGTGTTATATATTATGTAAAAAAAAACACAAAACTTGAAGCAACCTAAAATGTTCCAGATTCTGTGGGATTCTGCAGAAATGCCAATACGTGATGCAGAAATGTTTGTGTTTTTATTACCATAAAAAGATTTTACGAGTGAAGGGGGGGAAAAAAACAGGCCATAACATAATTGGTTAAAAAAATAATAATTGGTTCCATTTATATAAAATTATACTTACATTTATATATGTTTATGAAACCAAGCTGCTTCTTGGAGGCAAGGATTTTAAAGGACCAGTCCTCAGAGAGAGACATCATGCTTATAAGGGTGGAGGGACAGTGCAGAAGATGATGACCCTGGATGAGATGAATTGACTCAGTGACTGGGATAATGGGGTAGCTGTGTCAAAGACAAATGAGATTGGCTCAAGAGAGGGAAAGGTTCAGAGCTGTTGTGCATAGGCTCCTTGGGAGTTACAGGCAACACATGAAGACAAGTAAAGGAATATCTGGAGTGGCATTTACTAAATTAGCTGTTATTCACCCTGTGCCATAAAGAGAATCTGAGATTTTTTTTTTCAAGTTTGTTTTACATTTATAAACAAAAGGGAGAGGAAACGTTTTCAGTTCTACTTGGTAACTCTTACTGAAGGATTCAAGTCAGTGGTTAGGGCGACCACTCGACACTTTCTAAACTTGAACTTCTCATAAATTTCTGATAAAACCACATTTCTGTCAAACTTCTATTATAACTGCACTAAATAACTAAAATAGAATTTGATACCAAAGTGTAGGTTGCTGTTCTTACGAATACCTAAAATGTGGCAACTATTTTCTAATTGAGTAATGAATGTAGAGGCTAGAAAGGTTTGAAACCATCTCATGACAGGACAGCACCTAACACCACCACAAAAAGCTGAGATGACCATAAAATCATTGGTGGTGGAATAATGGACTGTACAGGCAATTCTCTGATGCTTCAGAAGTGAGGAGTGTTGTACCACAAGAGGCTGTGCAGATGGTTAAGTAAAGGGTGGAACCATAGCCTGCTGGGTCTGAAAGAATCAGATCTTCACCTTGGGTCCAAAGTATGGCCTTGCCTAGAAGGTAGATCTGAAAACAGAAGGTATGTCCAGGACTATAAGACCACCACTCACCACAGGAACCTGGAAATTCTTTTCAAGCCCTGGGAGCTAGTTTAAGTTGTTCTCCTTAATGTTTGGACTTAACTTAGTACCTGATCTTTTTCCCATTTGTAATAAAAGTCTGCCTCGTTCTACCACTGTACTTTGCTGTGTGTGTTGCTATGTGCCATCTGATTGCCTGTGACTTATAGTGACCCTGTGTACGGGAGCTCTGAGCCCTGCCCTATCCTGAACCAGTGTTACTATCTCTGACACACCCATCCCCATTACCCTGTCAATCCATCTCATCTGAGGGCTTCCTCTCCTATGCTGTCCCTCCACGCTTCCAAACGTGTTTCTCCAGACACCTGGTCACGTCCCCAAAGTATGTATGTTGTTGTTAGGTGCTGTCAAGTCACTTGCTACTCATAGTGACCTTATGTACAGCAGGTCTGAACCCAGCCCTATCCTGAGCCAACTTCATCATCTCTGACCCACCAAGAACTTCAAAATCCTTGCCTCCAAGGACCAGCTTGGTTTCACCCTCTCCAAGACAGACCTAATTTTTCTCCTGGCAGTCCATAGGCAGCAATTCTTCTGCTGTCATCCATAGTCACTGTCCAGCTCTCTGATGCATAGCAAGTAGCTGAGAAGACCATGGCCTGGATCAGATGCACCTTAGTTTCTAGACTGACATAATTTCTCTTTAGCACTTTGGAGAGATCCCTGAGAGCAGATTTTCCTAATGCAGTAATCTTTTCATTTCCTGAATGCTGGTGTCAAGTGTTGACTGTAGAACCAGGCAAGCTGAAATTAACCTCAGTCTCTTCTCCATCTTTCATAGTGCTGCCAATTGGCAGTGGTGAGAATGTTTGTCTTCTTGACATTGAACTTAATCCATTGTACTTTAGAAACAGTTTATTTTTATTCTGGATTTCACAGAAGGGAACTCCTAAGTCTGTAGTGTGTTGTGCTGTGAAACCAAAGGCCTCAAGTCTCCAGCTGTTAGAATCCACCAGTGGCTACATGGGAGAAAGATGGGCTGTCCTCCTTCCATTACAACTTATAGAGCCTTGGAAACCCAGTGGAGGATCTCTGTATGTCAGAATTTGAGTGATATAGAGCCACAGAGGAAGAGGAACTTTTCCCCACAACATTTTGGACTTGGAATTAAATTTAAGATTGGGATGATATGATATCAACAGTATATATTAGAAAGGTATCTTTTAAAGGGGGTGGAACCGCACACATAAAAATGACAGTGAGGCTGAATTAGATGTTGTGTTATGCGCTCAGCCAGTCACTTATAAGGAGCTGGGGGAGGGGGGATGTTGTGCTAGCTATGATCAAAAAACCTTGCCCTGTTCCACACCATACTGTCTTTGCTGTGGGAAAGCCCATTGAAAGTCCTCTTTTTCTCTGACCCTTTTCCATGGACTACTACCTTCTGACCACGTACACAGCTGCTAGTAAAGAAACTGAGCTCACTTTGCTAAAGCAAGCCTCCACTCTAGAACTAGGCACTAAGACTACACCAAAAAATACAAATGAGATTTAGGATTGGGTAGTTGGTAGGTGCACTGCAGCAACTCTGAACAGATCTGACCTGCTCCATCCTCACAAACTTCACTACACTCGGGCCCTGTCAGTCACTGTCCCATGATCTGAGGGTCTCTCTCTCTCTTGCTGACCCTCCACCTTTTCAAGCATGATGCCCATCCTAACAACATGCCCCAAGGAAGTGAGAAGTTTGGCCATCCTTGCTCCAGGGAGCACCCAGGTTGCAGTTCTTTAAAGACCTGGGCTATTCAGTGCTCTTCTCCAACACCGTAAGTCAAAGACATTTAGTATTCTTCAGTTTGTTCATTGTCCAACTTTCAAATGCATGGAAGCAACTGGAAATATGGTTTAAATCAGGAGCATTTTAGTCTTTGAACTGGCATCATTGTTCTTTGGAACTTAGAAGAGATTTTTTTAGTGCAACGTATCTTAATTTCTTGACTGCTAGTAAAATGCAATCTTCAATCTTTTCTCCATCTGTCTTCACATTGCCTGTTGGTCCAGTAATGTGGATTTTAGTCATCTATATGCCAAGATGTAACTCAATGGTGTTGCAATACTGACTGCAGGAAGTGCTTCAAATCCCCTTCACTTTCTGCAAGCCAAGTTATGTCATCTGCATAATACAAAAGGGGGCAAGGGGAGGTATCTACAAGACCTTTAAGATTCTCAGTGCATCTCTCTCGTTTCATATGGCTTTGTAATCAGAAAAATTATGGTGTTCTGCTATGTGTCACTACAAGCCAACTGGGTATAGAAGGCTTGAATCTTTTAAATACACTTTATTCCGATATTGGTAGTGTTGAGATAAAATGATGGCATAGGTGCTTTAAAGAGCATTTACAAAGTCTTAGAATCAACCCAGGCTTTTTAGATGGTGGTCAAAGGGAAGGGCCCAGAGGTTTCCAGAGTTGGTTGCCCCAGATGTCTCTTCCTGTGATAACTGTTAGGAGGCTTCCCTGCTGATGGTGCATTCTCTAAAGAAATTGGTCAGGGTTGTGGTTTTTTTCTGTCAATGTCTTGATCACAAATGCTGAATTCTAATGAGTTGGATTAATGGTCTTTTAAAGAAACTTTTATTGTCCTCCTAAACTTAGGGTGTTGATGTTTGGGTTGTTTTTTTTTTAATTGTCCTCAAAAAACTTAGGCAACAACAAACTAACTTATCTGAAGTCCTCCCACCATCAGCTTTAGCCTAATAATACAGAGACACAAGCATAACCATAACTGATTATAAATGAAATTTTAGTGGAGCTCTGTGGTATAGTCCATCACGTGTTGCACTCCTAACGGTTCAAAATGAAATAAACTTTTTACCTTAAACTGATCAGCTAAAGTCAGTTGGGCATGCTAATAAAAATTTTTGGCTATAAAGAAAATCCTTGGTTTTAAAAAATACAAAATGTTCTAATGGCAGCTTAAGAGTTTGAGGGAAAGCTAGTAGGTAGCTTGCATAGCTAATGACAGAATTTCACACTTTAGGGAAAAAATTTAGCACAACAGGAATCACAGTCCAGAAAGATTTTGTTTAAATTTTACCATATTTCTTAAGTAGAAGACTTCAAAAGAGATAATAAATTAGAGAGCGTTGACAAAAGAGTTCTCTACAATGGAAAAGCCTACTCACAGGTAGCAGAGTTTAAGAATCCGATACACTGTAGGGCATCAGAAAAATCCTCAGCAAAGAATAGATTATTGTCACTAAAGATACAGATTGCTAAGGCTTTTGGAACATCTTCCATAGAAAATTAAATGTGTGGTTAATTGTGTCCCCTTCCTTTTCTGTGAACCAGAAAAACTTGGTTGATGCCTCGCTACCATTAATTCCTCTTGAGCACTTTTATCAAGAGTCAGTGGGAAAAATATTCAACAAAAGGGGAGGATGCAGAATTTCAAATTCCCATGGATTCTAGATTTTCTGGACCTGTAAAGGCTGAAGCCCTAAAATTACTGTCTTGAGATAGATCTTAAACAGAAATGTCCTCTTAACTGGTTTTTTTAAAACCAAGTAGTAGTTTAATTTCTGAATAATTAAGTAATGGGGAACAGAATTTTCTTTTAATTCCAGTAAACTGGAATTAGCCCAACTGTTTTTCATAGTTGTAAACAAAGTATGCATATAGATTTGGTTCATATTTTCATTATTGCCATCTTATCATGACTTTGGTTTGCATACAGCTGCTATATTCTAGTATGTATGTTGTAATTTGCCTGTTATTCTTCAATGTTATGTAATTTTCTAATTTTTGTTTTCCATCTCTTTTGGTTGTAACATTGCAGTGAATACATCTTCAATCTTACTTCATTGATGTATATTTCTACCTTGTGAATCATTTGTAATTAGCAGTTTTATATTTGTGTGATATGTCTTTATATTTGGTTGTATTTTTCAATTCTATTCTTTTTCATTTTGATACATTGTCATTCATCCCAGTTCTGCCCAATAGTCTTCTGCAATGAAAATATTTTATAATCTTTACTATCCAATACCAGAGGTAAGATACATGCAATTGTGGATTACTTCCAAGTATAACTGTTAGGAGTGAGGAACAAACTTTCTAATAGTTGTTTTTGGGGTTTTTTAAACTTTTTAACTTTTTTTTAAAAAAAACCCAAACACCTTTTTAATGGTTTAAAACTAAATAGCTATTTGTGGCTAGTGATACCCTATGGGATAATGCAGGTCTAATGCATTTTATATTATGGAAATACTCGTTCTTCTTCAGCTTGGTTGAGTTTGCTCACTTGAGCATTTTTACCTCAGCTTGTTCTCTGAAGTTAAATGACATACATGGACTGTTGTTTTGTTTATTAGTAGTTTGAGTATGCAATGAAATTTACTTCCCTTTTAATACACAATTGTTAACACTAGTTTATTCTCATCACCGATTCACTCCTTACAACGGTTTTCCTTTCTAGTCATTCTCTTTTACTGTCTTGCTACCGCTTTAACATCTAATACTGATGTCTAGTCTTTCTTAACAGGGATGGCAAAGGAAGGTCAGCTAAATGGCTCATCTGCAGCACACAGTGAATTAAGAGGTATACCACTTTCTATTTATCTGCAGAAAATGTCTTCCTGATATTTTCTTAGTAACAAATGTTGAGAATACTGCCTATTTAGCTCTACTCTTAAAAATTCTTTTTTCTTAAGTCTGTTACTGCATTCCTAGAAGCCTATGTATTGATTTATAAGACATTAAAATATCTGAAGATTTCGCCTTGTAGACCTGTTTTATAAAACTCCTTTCTCTTTTTCCTCCTTCCACAGGCAATATTAGCATATGAAAAACAGCTACAGAAATCACCACTGACCAATCTGTGAGGTCCTACCACGGACAGTGTTTAACAAGCCAATTTCCAAGAATCCACTCAAGTACCACCAAACCCAAAGGTTGAAAATCAGGGTCCAGCTTACTCCTTCATGTTGGCTAGTTCTTGATGTTCTACTGCCTGTTCAGAGTGCCTGAGACAAGAGGACTCCAGGCTGCACATGCTTGTGTCCACACAGCCAACCAGACACTGGTCGTGGCTGCAGCTCTGCTTGAAGGACTAACATCTAGAAGCCATGGAGTTACCACGGGCCTTGCTGCAGTTTTATACTCCTTACTCAAGTTTTTCAGTTAGGATCAATGGCTTTTTTAAAATATGACTTGAAGCTCTAGTTTTGTAGCTCTTTTACAGTATACAGTATTTTACATAACTGAGCTGTATTAAAAGCCTGTTCATTTACTTTTGAGCATTTTAGCTCCACTTTTCATTGCCTCTGGAAAAATCCTACTGCATCACTGCATGAACAATTTGCAGTTTCATTTCCCCTAGGACACTTAAAAGGGGGGGGAGGTGTGAGCGCTTGGTGCTGGGTGAACAGAAGGGTCAGTAGTTTAAACCCAGCAGCTGTTCCACAGGTGAATTATGAGTCTTTACAGCCCAGAAACCCAGTGACAGGGCTGTACTGAGTTTGGTTTAAGGATCATTATCCTTTTCATAACCCAGATCAACGTCATGTGGAAACCAAGAACTAAATGGCAATTTAATTACGAAATTTATTTTCTTAATATAAATTATTTTTTCCTCTGGCCAGATAGCCTTCACCTTATTGCACTAATACCACATCTGTAATACCAAGCTTTAAGACAAGTCTTAACAAGAGATGTATATCTGTCAACATAGCACTTATCTACCAGGCACTGTAGAGTGAGGAAAGCCAGGATCCACTCGGGGTGAAGAATAGGCTGGGGAGTTGGGCAACAGAAACCCTTTGTTGGTTTTCTCCCAGGAAGAGGGCCATGCAAAGTTTACATCTGCTTTCTAGATGTAAGGAAGACAAGCTAAGAAGTCCAATGCAACACTGCAGCTCAGCTCCTATTTCTGGTGAAAGTAGGCATCATCTCTCTCTTATCTGTAACACATCACCCTGGCCCAGCCAATGCTTTGGGGAGAGTCATCAAAATTAGCAGCAATTAAGAACAGGCCGCACACTGCCAGTGAGGTGGGTGTCATCCTGGACCCAGGGACCTGAAAGGATCCTAGAGGTGCCAGTCAAGACCCAGAGCTGGCTCACTGTCTCTTACAGATCACTAATCACACCGCAGAGCTTTCAACCACTGATCCAAGCTATAGAGAGAAGAGAATCTGGAGGCAGAGTGAGGCCAGAGCTGGAGGATAGAGTTCAGGGGTGTAGGTGCACTATGACAAGGTTAGACCCTCCAGCCCTGCAGATGGAGGCTGGACAGCAAATAGGGTCAGGAGGAGCCTGACCCTATTTCTGCCCTCATTCTGCCTTTTAACTACACTGAAGATAAGCTGCCCAAATACTCTAAAGCACATTTTCAATACATAAATAGGAGTTTGGGGAAAGCGGTGATTTGGTATCAGGCAAGAGTCGTATTAAGCCTTCATGAGGGCAGCCACCACAGCCTTGGCGTTGAGACTGCGTAGGTCACAGTAGGTCTGGCCAGTACCCACAAAGACTATGGGCTTGCTTGTGATGTACGTCATAGATATAGCAGCTCCCACCTAAAGTGTAGAAAGGGGATACCCAGTCAACTCTCCTTTTCATTCACCCCCCTTAGCAGAATGCTTTAGAGCTAATTCGGCTAGCTCCTTTGTGAAACAACAGCACTCCCTCACCACCCTACACTCCCTTCTCCAGTGATCACATCCTATTTACCTTGTCATCAATGGTATCAAATTTAGTAAGGACAATGCCATCAATGAGCCGAGGTGTTTGAGCCATAGAATGGTCAGCCAGGGCTCTGTTGAACTTGACCTATAAAAGAAGGAGGTGGTGTAAGTATAAGCACTACATAAATGGCCACGGCTGAGGCTGGACAGGAAACCAGGCCTTAGCTCTCACCAGCTGATCCACGGCCTCGTTGCCTACTAAGGCCTCCCCCACAAACAGCACCAAGTCCGGTGTATTTACAGTAATGAGCTTGGCCAGTGCAGTCATCAGGGGGACATTGTCTTGCATGCGGCCAGCTGTATCAACCAGCACCACATCGAAGCCTTGGTTACGTGCTGGAGGGAGAGAAAATGGTCAACTCAACACTTGGACTCTATCACCCAGCCTCACTTCCAGCTTCCTAGCCTGGCTGTATTCACCTCTGTTAACTGGTTCTGGATTTGGTTAAAAGGTAACATGGGAAAACAAAACAACTCTTCTCCAAGGATACAGAGGATCAGCATGGCAATATGGTAAATAAAGGCCACCTAACTTAGGTACATGTATTAATTACCCCAAAGCAGAGCATGGCAAAACTTTCTATTATTTAAGTGCTCTGGTGCTCTAGTGATAAGGAGTGACTTAATCGACCAGCTACTCCATGGGAGGAGTGTCAGTTCCAAAGGCACATGACAGCACGCTGCATGCTAACCCTGATCCTCTGCAAATTCCAAGGAACTCAAAGTGGAAAAGGGGCCCAAAGAAACCCCAACTGCTCGTTTCCCATGCACAGTACCAAAAGCAATAGCTTCCATCGCAATGCCGGCAGCATCCTTGCCATAGCCCTTTTCAAACAGCTGCACCATAGTGCGGCCATTGTGATTCTTGGGTGGGTGTAGGGCACTCAGGCGCCGGGTGTGTGTGCGCAGCTGTTCCACAGCCCCTGCACGAAATGTGTCACAGGCAGCAATGAGGACACTAAAGCCATTCTCCAACAACCAGAAAGAAATCTGTGCCAAGAAAGGGAGAGGGGAACTGTCATTTAGAACCAGACTTGCTAAGACACTGGAAATGAAGTAGGCAGGAGACATGCACCTACCTTGGCAAGATTAGTGGACTTCCCCACTCCATTAACGCCACAGAAGGTGACAACATAGGGGCGCTGGCGACGCTGGGCATCCATGATGTCCCGGAGCATGTCCACACGACGCTGTGGCTGCAGAATCTGCACGAGGGACTCTTGTAGAGCTTGCTTCACTGTAGATGTCACTGCTGGGGGCAGGGGCATCCATGAATCCCAAGGAAGTTGGTCCAAGAATGCCCAACACCTTTCAGTTCTGAGGGGACTAGGATCTGAATGATGCTAGCATTGTCTCAGGAATCCAGATGTGTCTCACTGTTCTCCCACAAATATCTCCTCCCAACAATTCTTTTAATAAAGATTTAGGTTGTGTAACAGCAATTGCAGAATTTGTCAGAAGTCACATAATTCATAAGATTGGAGACCTATGCTTTCCCCCCTCTCAGTCTGCACAACCCTTTAACAGGGTCTAGTTTAGTGAGACACTTACTACTAAATGTTCCCATCACCTTCCCTTCCAGCTTGTTAGCGACAGATTCACAGAGCTGGGCTGCAATATCTGCCGCGACATTCTTAGCTGAAGACAGAGAGGAAAGACATAGTGTGAGTGCCATGCCAGAAACAATCTTTAGGGTACAAGTGAGGAATCTGCTATTTTTGCTTGCAGAACATCCCTACCCCATAAACAGCTCAGTCAGGCCCAGCTCTGAACTCACCAATGAGGTGATCCCGCATCTTGTCCAGCACTGACTCCATGTCTTCACGACTCAAACTCTTTGAACCCACGAGGCCCTTTAGCATTCCAAACATGCCACCCAGGGTCCCCTTTGCAGAACT